GTTTTATTTAATCTTGTGCTGTCTTCCACTCTTTTTATAATATGTACTTTGTACATAAATAAAAAAGAAACAATAACAATAAAATAGTAGTAAACCACTACTCTCCATCGTGATGACGTCACTGTCACGACTGGACGACAACGGCGTAGCTGACCTTTCTTTTTGAAACTTTCTTAGAGATGTAGCCGTGTCGCACGTTGTGTATCGATTTCAAAATCGATCTAACCAAAATATACAGACATCGATTCTAAATATTTTATGGCGAGGCGTAGGCCAAGTGAATCACAGAAGAAAAGTCTTACGCTCTTATGACAATGGGGGTTTCATATGATGCTGATGTTGCTAAATGATTTTGGATTGAGAAAGAAAATCGCACAACACAAAATGAAAAATTGCTCTTCATACCTTAAGTAAAGAAAACACATTTATTATTTGTAATTATATATTATTAAAATAAAAAAGATACATAATTATTCACTAATCAACAATTGTACATAGGTAATTATTCGCACTAGAAAAATCAGTCTTATAATATTAAAATATTGGTCATGGAATAAAAAATCAGTAATTATTATAAAAATCAACAAATGGTACATAATTATCGACCAATCAACAAATGTATATAATTATTCGCACTAGAAAAATCAGTCTTATAATATTAAAATCTTGGTCAAGGAATAAAAAATCAGTACTTATTACAGAAATCAACAAATGGTACATAATTATTCACTAATCAACAATTGTAAATAATTATTTACCCTAGGTCTAGTCTTAAAATATTAAAATCTTGGTCTTTAACTCAATCAGTACATATAGAAAACAACAATTAAAAATAATTAATAAATTATAGGTAATATTAGTCTTAAAATAATAAAAATCTTATGGAATAATAAAACAAATGTTTAGCTGTCCAAAGCAAATTTTCTAACGTGGTAGAGCCATGCTGCAGTTATATTACGAGAGAGTAGTTGTAGCACGAATGAGTCGGCTCAACCGGGGAAGAACCACGCCCTCACGGAATACCGGCGTCAAATAGTAGCTTAATGCTGCTGTATTTCGTATGGCAAGTGTAGAGAACCGGAGACCCTCTTTACTGGAAACTAGGCATTCCATCTAAGTCCTCACGGGTGAGAGCGCATCTGCATTTTGATTCGTAATCGAGGATAGATGTAAATGTCTATGGGCCACAGCAACCACTTACCATCAGGTGGACTGCGTGCTCGTTTATTACCCTATGCTATAAAAAAAGAAATTAACCGTAAAAAACTATAAAGTGTATTCCTACCTCATTGAGGTAGAGTTAATCGAAAATGAAAAACTTTGGTTTCATGATAATTTTAATGTGCCTATTATGAAACGCCGCTACATTATGTATCAAATTATTAAAATAATAGAAAACAACTCATAAAATCGCTAAGCAGGTACGGATTGTATAATACATATTTTTCCTTTATTGAAACTGTCCCTAAAAACATATAAGTACTAAATTATGTGCATATATTTATTTCTACTTGGATATTTTCAATTTTTTATTTATTTAGGTAGGTAACTTTTGTACGGCTATACTGTAAGACGCGAAAGTGTTAGTAACAAAAAAAGAACGTCGCCGCCGAAAACAAAAGAGCAATTTAGTACTAAGTCGACACGCTATTTTAGATCTTAATGTTTTACCATTACATTGATTTTTAGTCTACTCACAATACTACTCGAAACGATTGTAATGCCGAAAAGTAGAAAGTCGATATACTATTTTGGACCTTAATGCTTTTTCATTACGTTGATTTATGATTTATGGTCTACTCACGGTACTTACTTTTCGGAAGGATTATTGTGAAATATGGCTTAAGATATTTATTTCGCTAAACAATATTACCATTCGCTTTTTTGACAGAAAAAATATCTACTAGTTGCAGTATAAAAGTAAACGAACATGATGAGTTATTCTAAACTCGAAAACAAAAACATAAAAAATGTGCTCACAAGAGTCGCCCGGGAAACAGTTCCATTATGTATCGAACTTATTATATTTAAAATTAAACAAAATATTATAAAATAATAGATACATAAAATAGGCAATATGCATGTAGTAAAATGAGTTTAATTTATTAGGAACTTAAGACACTTACCTCACTTAAATCTTCAGGTAATGATTCAGATTCCGAAAATTCATCATCGTCGACGCTTTCCAAAATCCGAATGAGTTCTGAGGCTGAGGAATCGTTCATATTGCACTGCACTAATTTTCCCGCTAATCGCTTATGACGTCATCAGCGTGTCGTCTATACTAGACTACGGCGCCCAGTGAACTGATTTTCGATGTCTCGCTAAGGATGCGCCAGAGTTGAGATATTAGATTTATTATGCGAAGATAATTTGATAATTTTTTTTAATTCATGTAGCTAATTATAGTTTTATATTTCTAACCTTTTGTTTTATTTAAATATCAATAATAATAGAAAAAAAAAATAACACGTTTGAGCTTAATTTTGAATAGTTTTCAATAAATTTATGCCTAACGCATTACAACACTAGCGGTCTAACATAGACGACTTTGGCGTGCTGGACATAGTATTTGCTTAGATAAAAATCCATTTTTTTTTAGTTCAATGTTTCTTAGTACTTGTGGCTCTAGGAGACTTGTTTTTTATACTCACATGTTGCTGGGTTATTCGTTTTTGAGGGGTGTAGAATTAAAATACAAGTAATAATTTTCCAATGTCTATATTTCATATTTTTGTGGGCCGGGTTTTTTGTCAACTATAGACGTCGTTGGCGCTCAGGGCACGCAGGTGCTGGTCACGTATAGACGACTTTGGCGCTCAAAAGGTTAATGGTATTTATTCGTTTTTAGAAAAGTTCATTGGTTTTAAGTATAATAGGGAAAAAATATTTTGTATTTTTAATTATTAATAACTAATAAAATAATTCATTAATAGTGTGAGCAAATGCGGATTTGAATTGAGCAATTAGTGAGCAATTTAGTGCACTTATTCATTTATCTGAGCGGTTATACTTCCAAGCCAGCTTCTTTGTGGTTCAGTAAGCTACATTAGTGTGATAGCCTTCGAAATAAAGATATTCGCTGTAGAAACAGAGTAATCGAGACCAATAATCTGAAGTGGCATTAGGCCATATGGCTCAAAGAACTGATAACCGATGTCGAAGAAATGTTCATTGGTTTTCCTACCTTTTAAATCCCTCGAATTCATAGCCAAAGGTGAAACTCGTAACAAATACCGATCTACAGTTATGGAGAAAAACCTAATAAGACTAACGTAGCATCGATTTTTGTACTATTTATTGTATGGTGTTGTATATATATACCATAGATAGATAGGTAGACCTAGGTATAGAATTTTTGTGGATATATTTTGACACGCTTTCCGATCTCTATTATTAGTTACGTGGACGCCCACTACTGCTATCGCGCCAAAATAGCGAAAAGCAAAACGCTTCATTATGTACATAGTTTAAATAATTCCACATAAAGGCTATGTACTCTACTAAATAAAAAAGTTAATAAGACCTATCTATTCGTCCAAGATCGTACTTGCTGTTTTATTTTACAATTGTTATTCTAATTAAGTCGTATTATTTATAATTGTAAAATTATACCTTTAAATAAAATATTACATTAAGAATGGCATTTTCATAATGGAATCTAATATAAAAATTAATTTTACTTCCCGTAAGGACTGACAGCCGAAGCGAAGTGTAGTGCGGCCTCCCACTAGATAAAGTAACGACCTGGTAAGAGATGCAAGTCAATGGATGCAGGCAGCTCAGGGCCGTTTAGGCATTTCTTGGTGGAGGCCTACGTTCAGCAGTGCACTGTAATGTTGATGACGATAATACAATTTGAAAGATCTTTACAATTGTCTTTCGATGGTTTGTAATCCAGCACCATGCGTTTCACCGTAATCGTACTGTCACGTACCTACAACCATCTTTTTGGACGAGTTTGACGAGGACCTTTATGAAAAAATCTCTACCCTTCTAAAAGGCCGGCAACGGACCTGCTGTTGCAGACATTTATGTGATCTCTTCCGATGATCCGATTACTCGTTTGCCTCCTTTTATATAAAATCGATTCTATACATAGTATGTGCAAGAACAAAATACATTTTTAAGCCTGAAAAAAAAAACAGAATTTGATCCTCACCAACACTCTAATAAAAATTTTGTTCCACCAGTGACATCTTTAGAAAATTACATGTCCGAGTACACGAGCTAAACTCAAATAGAATGTAAAGAGGCCTGCACGTTATGTTTAGGTACCATAGGTTTATATAAACTAGACACCATGAGTCCGGTTCCGATTTTTCTCCCGTAACGCTATAAAAATCAGTAATCCCGTTTTTGCCTACTTCTAATATAATATGAAAATACAAAGGAATTTCTTAAACTTTTATTATACCTATGGATTTTATAACTACATTAAAATGGAACATTATCTGGTATTATTAATTAAAACCAAAGCTCTGTTATGGTTAAATATTCAGTCATATTTATTAAGTCAAATGATACTCCTTAATAATATATTTATATTTTATTGGTATTATAAATCATAACTTATTTTTAAATGTTATAAAACAAATATTTGCACAAAATGAAATCTATTTTTATTTCGTTTTTCGTTATATAATATTATCTAAATAAACTACAACTGACATACTTTACATGCTTGCACATTTACGTAGATTACAAGGCCATTTCTAAAAAGTAGACGGTTACTACTAAATGTGAATCTATCAATATAAATCTGTGATGATAAAATTTTACATTTTAATATGTGTTATAATTATTCTAATGCTAACGCGATATTAATCACCAAATAAATGATAAGCTTGGAATAAATTGCAAAAATGTCAATATTTTGGTTGAGACTTATCACATTTTTTTATAATTATTGCATACTATTATATTCTTTTTCCGTGTTCTTTTTATTCAATTCAGTCATTGAAGTAAATAGATCTTTTCCCATTATCACATTGAAGGTTTCAGTCAAAGCTTATTAATTCAGCAGTATTATTATTGTGTTCAGACTTTGTAGGAGTTTGAGATGGCTGATTTTGATTTGTTTGTTGTCCTTGTTGACCGTTAACATAATTTTGTTGTTGCATTTTTAGTGGTTGACCTAAATTTTGCGTTACTTGTTGACCTTGTGGCATTTGTTGTCCTTGAGTAGGCATTTGTTGTGCAGCGGGAGGCACTTGTTGTCCAGAGGGAGGCATTTGTTGTCCAGTGGGAGGCATCTGTTGTCCAGAGGGAGGCATTTGTTGTCCAGATGGGGGCACTTGTTGTGCAGGTTGGGGCATTTGTTGTCCAGAAGGTAGCATTTGCTGGTGTTGTTGAGGCGCTTGACCTTGAGGTGGCATATGTTGCCCCTGTGGATGTATTTGTTGACCAGGGCCTGGCAATTGCTGTCCCTGCATCATTTGTTGATTAATTTGCTGTCCCTGCATCATTTGCGGGCCTTGTGGCATCTGATTTTGAGGCATTTGTTGATTTTGCTGTGGAATGTTCTGTCCTTGAGGGATCATTTGGTGGCCTTGCATCATCATTTGCTGACCTGGTTGACCTTGAATCGAGATGTGGTGACCTTGTGAAAATTGGCTTTGTTGAGATTGTGGCACTTGAGTAGCACCTTGAGATACCTGTGGTCCTTGAGAATGTACATTTTGGTTTTGGTTGGGAATATGATTATTAATAGGATTGCTCTGATTATGTCCAGGTAATGTTTGACCCTGTATCATTTGTTGACCCGGTAATGTCATACTTTGTCCTGTCATTGGTATTTGAGAGGGTTGAGATATGTTGGGTATTTGGGTGCCAGCCTGTTGATTTTGCATGCTCAAAGGATATCCTGAAACCTGTAGAGCACCTGGCGGATTGCCTTGCATTAACGGCATCCTTATATTTTGCATTTGCATACCTATCATAGAATTTGCAGGGTTTAATGTTTGCCCAATGTTTTGCTGACCGCTAGACATTGGAGGCATAATTGTATTTGGCTGCTGTGGCTGGTTTGGTACATTATGTTTAGGAATTTGTTGAGAAGGCTGAGTATTTTGGAGATTAGGTCCATTGGCAACGTTTTGTGTCATCATTTGGTGTACTCCTGGCTGTATAGGCATTCGCAATTGATGCATATGTTGCATCATCATTTGTTGTTGCAATGGCATTTGTTGACCAAGGCCAGGTCTATTTGGTTGATTCATGGCTGTTGGAACACCAGGCGGCGCTTGGCTGAGCGTCATACCTGTAGTTGACATAGGGTATGTGGTTGCCATTTGAGGCATAGACTGAGATACAGCACCCATTTGAGTAACACCCATTGGCATATTAGCTTGCGACATTTGAGGTTGTCCCGGTAAGGGCACCGACCCGTCCGTAGTTGCTTGAGGCATCATCTGAGGATGGAATTGTGCCGATGCGTACATTGGTTGATTTGGGTATCCTGGTTGGAAATGGTGCATCGCAACACCTGGCATGTAGTAATTATTCGCAGACATCATATACTGATGCTTTTGCTGCTCTTGCCTCATTTGCATTTCTCTTTCTTGCTCCTATAAACAAAAAAAAAAATTTGTTACAAATTGGTGAAATTTATTGTTTTAAAAATACAAGTAACAAATTGAAATGGTTATGGTACCTAATTATGCTTAATGGCGACTGCTGCAGTGTTTCAGTCAGAGCTACCTTAATAAATATTAGTTCAAGGGTTCCTAAATTGAATGATTGTTTGTTGTACAGATAAACTACTATTTTAAACCGACTTTAAAAAAAGGAGGTACTCAATTTGACTGTATATTTTTTTGTGTGTTGAACTAACTGATTTTAATGACTCTTTTTTATTTGAACATTTACATGGAACCTCACGAGAAGTACCAGCTTCTATATAAATATAAATCCCATCCCATCCCATATAAATCCATCGGTCCCATATAATTTAAAGGTCCCATTAAATTTGATCAGTATCTGAACAGCAGTTTTTGAGTTATCCTTAATAATGCGTATTTAATTGACTTCGAATACATTGATGATGTTCTCATTTTATTTATATTTAAGTCCACCACTTGTTCTGATTAGAATTTAATATTGTCTCAATGTTTCTGGCACGGCAACAATTCTATTCTAGTGATTTATTAATCAGGCATTATAAATTATAATTTTAGAATGGGCTATTTTTAAAAGAATTAATGATATGTCTTTATTTTTTGACATAAGAGCACATCTAGGTGGCAAGAAATTTGAAGAATATGTTTTAACTAACTATTGCTGTTGCTCGGACTGATCATATCCATGAAAAATTGACAAATTTAACATTCCATATTCCTCTATTTCCTTCTCCAAAACTAGACCGACTTTAAGTTTTATTTACATGAACAATATAAGAAGGATGGTGGATGTCTGTGTTTCTCTTTTATTTTTATGTCCATTGAATTTGTTAAGTGAATTTTGTAATTTTAGGTTTCTAGTTTTTAAAATAATAAACTATAAATACGAAAAATAAAAATATGGCATAGTTTTACAATGCATATATATTGTATTGCTAAACACCGAAGCTTTATTAATCTGTTACTTTACTGATTATTTTACGTGCTAGTTTATAATATAAGAGTGACTAAAGAGCTAATAGTTCTTATGATAGTGGTCCATGGCTGTAGATGTGTTAATTCTGAAGAAAAAGAGGGAACACTTCTCATGATACTGGGCTATCTACAGCTATTTACCGGACATAATAATAGACATATTGCTGTTAAGCAGTTGAAACAATGAATGGGGTAGTACCTTCTTAAAATGCTAAGTAAATTTATAAACAATGATATGCATTGGTCGTGTTGCTGTCTTGTCGTTGGCTTGTATCTATATATACAATAAGCGACGGTCGGTGGTTCTTCCCCACTTTGTTATCGGTAAATTTGTCATGCAAAGTATTCGAATAGTGCTTTCTCTGGTGCAATTAGTAGAGCAACAGAGTGATATCCATCGGATTACAATCTAGGATTAGGAGAGCCGTGGTACCTCAGTGGTTAACGCTCGCTGTAGATATAACAGAACGCGAGTAATCCGGGTTCGATCCCCGCCGGCACCAATGAAATTGTTAATTTTAAGTGCTGATTTACCGCGTGCTCGGCGGTAAACGAAAACATCGTGAGGGGAAACCTGCATGTCTGAGGAATAAGAAAAAAAAATATTTCGAAGACATGTGAAGTTCGTCAACACGCATTTGGGCAGCGCGGCGGACACTTCCTTGCCCTAAAACCCTCTCAGAAATGAGGGGAGGCCTGAGCCCAGCAATGGGACGTATATAGGCTGTAACTTTACTTTTTTTTTACTTTACAATCTAGGTGTCTTCAAAGCAAGAGCGGCTTTTGTTATGCTTTGATGGTGAATTTATCATCTATGAGTTCATCTTCGCTTGCCACCAGTTTTAGTCAAGCATTAGCTTAAGTAGAAAACTCTGGTGGGGTTGTATCGGAGTACACAGCCGTTGGTTTAAGGAGAAACATTTATGTCAGTGACTCGCTTTTAGCGTTAGAAAGAAGAGAGCGTCGGTTTTGGTTAATCTGCGCGTTACCCCTTCCCCGCTAACTCGTCCGGTCCTGATGCAAACTGAAGGTTGTAACAGCTAGCTGACTACTAGGCAAGTAGTTAAACGCTACTTAATTTTAAGATGTCGTTAAGTCTCGTGGTGTGACAGTCACTTTGACTTAAAGCGAGAGACAGCATGAGGCTTAACAACATCTTAAAATTGAGCAGCGATTGAGTATTTTGGCATATGTAAGTTCAATAATGACAACTCACTTAGGACTTTGGCAGTTTTGTAGTTATTAAGGCAAGACGATATAGACCTTTTCATTATGGTTCACTTTTCAGACTTGGTACCTGTTATGTTTCGGTGAAGATGTTTAACATAATGATTTCTTATATTTACGCGAACACTAACAAAACTACTTTACGTATTAAAACTACTTTCACGTATTTTATCGCGTTTAATTGTAATTATTTTTAATTCCCGACGTTTCGGGTGCTTTCCAGCACCCATGGTCACGGGGGACTGAGGTGACTGACATCCCAATGTCATTGTTAAACCCGGAGTACCTTCAGCTTTTTTAATTATTGTTTATGGTCCGATCTACGCAAAATGAACAGACTATATCCTGAGGTCTTGCAGTGGTATGCTTGGGTTTAGTTTTAATTTTATTGATTATAGGGTCCCAAGCAGGAAGGCCTCCTTCTCTATTGAAATTAGGATGTTTTTTAATTTCAATAGCCTCACGCATCATTCTTGATAGGAATCGGTGTTCTTTCGCGAGGATTTGTGGTCTATCAAATCTGATGTAATGGTTGGGGCCGTCTAGGATATGACCACAAGCTGCAGACTCCCCCCCCCCGTAACTATGGGTGCTGGAAAGCACCCGAAACGTCGGGAATTAAAAATAAAAATGATAAAATTTAAAATTAAACGCGATAAAATCCGTAAAAGTAATTTTAATCAATGCGAAGACGTTTAACGTCAAAAAAAATGTAAGCGTAAACAGCATTAGTTTTCATTTTGCAACGCACCTGCACTCTCTGCAGAGCGAGCTGCCGCTGGTACTGCAGGTACTCGTGCTTCTTCTTCCGCATGGCCTGCAGCTTGGCGGCCATCTGCATCTGGCGCTGGCGCTCGGCCGCCTCGGCCGCCGCCGCCAGCCGCGCCGCGTGCTCCGCGCGCAGCGTGTCCAGCGCCGCGCGGCTGTCGCGCACCTGGCTCACCTTGTCCTGCAAGTCAACATAAACACTATACCTATATGCATTATACATGGTAGAGCCATGCTAGAGTTATGTGGTCGGCACGATCGGTGAAGGACGTCCCTTTCACAGAATAACAGTGTACACATAAATGAACATAACATAACATTCCATATGGCACGATCTACACACCTCTCAACATCAGCTTAAAATAGCAGCATAATGCTGCTGTGTTTTGTATGGTGAGTGTAGAGAACCGGAGACCCTTCTTACTGGAAACGAGGCATTACATCTTAGTCCTTAGAGGTGACAACGTATCTGCATTTTGATTCTTAATTGAGGATAGATGTAGATGTGTATGGACCACAGCATCCACTTATCATCAGATGGAATAATCATTAGTTAATTTAAAAAATATTGAGACCAGGTTGAACAAAACACATGACTTCAAAGCGTGAAATTGACACTTCTTAAAATAAGGTATGCCACACAAAAAATATGCGTACTTAAAATTATTAATCGAATAGATTTTATAAATCTACTAGCTTGCCAGGCAGACGTTATTTTGCCCTTTTCGACGACCCTTTGTCACGTCCTATTAAAAATCTTTAAATTCGCAAAATAAAAAAGTGGGTCATTCGTAGATAAAAAAAACCTATCCTATCTTTCAAGTTGGGCCAAACTGCACATGGTGTGCAAATTTGCTTCGTTGCACGTATCACGTAATACGTGTCACGTTGTTTGTCCGCGATGGACTCCTAAACTACTTAACTGATTTTAATCAAATTTGCACACCGTATGCAATTTGGTCCAACTTGAGAGATAGGATAGTTTTTTGCCCACGAGTGACCCATATTTTTTTTTGCGAACTTAAGGGTTTTTAATAGGACACAGGGTCGTCGAAAAGGGCAGAACTACGTCTGCCTAGCAAGCTAGTTTATATATATATATATATTTTATTTTTTATATATATATATATATATATATATATTAAGATAAATAAAACACAAAAAATGTTTCTACCTGTCCATTATAGTCTTTGAAACCATCCAACCCATTTTTAATAAAAAAATTGTTTGCCATTGGCTGCGTTTGGCAGAAAAAAGCGCTAGCAAGCGCTTGTAAGCAAAATGGCGATCGTAAGCGGTAAGCGCTATCAAATCGTAAGTTTATTAGTAGTAAGTAATTTTCCTCTAGGATACGAAGTTAGCTTTAAACGGGAACCTAACCTAATTTAAATATATGTTTGTAAAGTAGTAGTAGTAGTATATACTTTATTGTACACCACACATATACAACGAATAAATACATTACAGAGAAAACTTAATATATACGTATGTACAATAAGGCGGTCTTATCGCTAAAGAGCGATCTCTTCCAGACAACCTTTGGGCTAAGGAGAAACTGGAATTAAGAACACGTAGGAGGTGGCGTGTTTTATGTTACACTTACATTCTAATATCTAAATAAACTAAACTATATTTTGTTAAAATACCACAATAATACATAAAAAATAATAATAATATAAACATACATATTAATAAAGTTTGCGCACGTCGAATTTGGAGTGGGAGTTCATTCCATAACCTTATGGCTTGGCTCGTAAAAGAATATTTCATAAATTTTGTTCGAAATGAACATGGTTCTAGAATTAGTTCGCCGGCTGACCCGAAGAACTCTATCAGGTCGATCATGACCAAGAAACTTAAAGTTTTCCTTCTTCATATTAAAAACTTACCAATCATGAATTTTTAATAACATGTATAATATGTTTATTCATGTCATTATATTACTTAAAACTAATATTGCACAAAACAACTTATAAGCTTTACTTCAAAACAAACAAATTAAATAAGTAGAATGGCGGATCGTGTCAGCGCTACTGATGTTAGCAAACGTGTCCTGGCCGAAAACTGTTTAGTTTCGCCATTTTGCTTACAAGCGCTTGCTAGCGCTTTTTTCTGCCAAACCAAGCGTTTGAATGGGTACCCTCAATGGTTTATAGTTACATTTGGACCTGATAGGTGGCACTGTTGTCGATATCCAGAAATCACCCATGCGAAGCCGGGATGGATTGTTAGTATTACTTTATATAAATCGAGATAAAAATTATAATTTAATCGAGAACTAACACTGAGGTTCGAGTTCTCGCTTTTTAAGCAATAACTGTATAATGTTTTTCGATAATATGATTGTCATAGTGAATAAAATTTTTCCAAAGAAATTATATATTATATGTAAAGTTTTGAAGAAAGTAAATTTTTGTCCTCCGAATTTTGTATGCTTACATCGTGATGAACAAATATGCAAGCAGCCGGGAAGAGAAAGTCTTTTATACCATAGGAAATTCTCGCTTCAACATGACTCCCTTTTAATTATTAAATGACAATAGCGATAGACATGCAGTTTTTCATTCATTCATCATCATCATTACAGCTCTTCACGAGTCCACTGAAGAACATAGGTCTCCTCCAAGTAATGCCACAAAGCACGGTCCTGAGCCACCTGCATCCATCGACTTCCTGCATATCTTACCAGGTCGTCACTCCATCTAGTGGGGAGCAGCCCTACACTACGCCTACCGGTACGAGGCTGCCACTCGAGAACCTTTCTTCCCCATCGGTTATCGGTTCTTCGAGCTATATGGCCGGCCCATTGCCACTTCAGCTTACTAATCCGTTGTGCTATGTCGGTCACTCTGGTTCTACTGCGGATATCCTCATTTCTGAGTCTATCACGCAGAGAAACTCCGAGCATAGCCCTCTCCATAGCTCGCTGAGCGACCTTGAGTGTCCACATACGGCCAGCAGTGAAGGACCATGTCTCAGATCCGTAAGTCATCACTGGCAATATATAATATATAGGTATACCTCAATCTCTGAAAACTAGATTGTACAAACTTTAAGTAGCAATTTTAAATGTTGATTTAACATGTGTTCGACAGTGTAGAAAATTTTCATTATGAAACCTAAATGTTTGTGAAATTAAATAATATTTCGAAGAAGTAAAGGCCGTCATCACGCACTTCTTGCTTAATTAATTGGTGGTAATAAGTAAGTAATTGTGTTTTACCTGCAAACTTTCCAAGTAGACGCGCTTATCATCTTGCTGCTGAATGTAACGCAGCAGACGCGAGTGCATCGCAGTAATGTTCATAAATAACGTCTGAACTGAAGTGTCGTTGGCTATGGAACGTCCTCTGTAAACATATAAATATAATGTTATATTTATTGAATGAGCATATTTAGGGTGAACCTTATATTTCTTCTATACATATAAATAAAATTAAAGTGTTCTTTTTATAGGATAGGGTGACAAACGAGCACACAGTTCACCTGATGGTGGTTGCTGTGGCCCATAGACATCTATATCTATCGTCGATTACTTAACAAAATGCAGATGCGTTGTCACCCGTGAGGACTAAGATGGATTGCCTCGTTTCCAGTAAAAAGGGTCTCCGGTTCTCGACCACTCATCACACGAAACACAGTAGCATTAAGCTACTATTTCACGCTGGTATTCTGTGAGAGTGTGGTCCGTCACCGGTCGAGCTGTACCATTCGTGCTACAACTATACTGCTAATATAACTGCAGCATGGCTCTACGACGTATAAAGTGTGTCTGTCTGTTATATCGAAATAACAACCATGTTTTGAGCTGAGGTGTTAATTTGCACACCATTAAGACATGAACAACCATTTTTAACGTTTCTGTATGTCCGGGCCAATCTAAGAAATGGCTGAACCGATCGTAATGAAACTTTACGAACAGATAGAGAGCAACGCTAAGAGTGATCTAGGTTCTATTTTATTTAACTTTTTTTTGAAAAAACTAATTATTGCTTAAAATATTTAATCATTAACTGAAATTCAAATAAAGCCACATTAATAGATTTTACCCAGGTAAAGCCAGGGCAGGTCGCTAGTTTAAAATAAAAAAGAGAAATAATATGTCTTCCGAACTAAAGGCATCATTGCAAAGGTATGTTCACAGATCAGCCAACATCACTGATCTCTATATATAAGTACGCGCCAACATACATTCTAATGGTTAGAACTAGACTAGACTGCCTTTGATTTCTAAGAGGGATTTCGAAACAGGTAAGAATACGCAGTGCTGCGTTAATAGGCATCACGTGCCTGAAATTGTAATTTTTTTTTCGGACATGCAGGTTTCCTCACTTGAGTATTTGGTAAATTAGGACTTAAGTGACGGCAAGGATAAGACTCGTATTGCTCGCTTATTTTAAAATTTAAGACCTATACCATTCTAAGAACATTCAGTCAGTTATGGCGTTCGATGTAGTCGGCAAAACCGGCATAAACAATAAATTGCTAGGGTTGTCACAACGGAAAGTAGTAAAAAAAATAAAACTGTTTATTTTATTTCAAGTTTAAACTAATTCCTGTGTTCTTTATCTTTAAATGAGGACCTACAGGTTTTTATACCGCACATGTAGTGTGAACCATTTTAATTTATTTGTGTGACAGGGCAACCCTAGCGGACAGCTCCCGACCGACTAACGGCCACTCGCGAGCGCTCCACCCGCTTCTCGGCCCGCACCGCACCTCACGATTGCCCCGTCTAGACGCCTTCGATTCATCATCATCATCATTACAGCCCTTCACAAGTCCACTGCTGAACATAGGCCTCCCCCAAGTAATGCCACAAAGCACGGTCCTGAGCCACCTGCATCCATCGACTTCCTGCATATCTTACCAGGTCGTCACTCCATCTAGTGGGGGGTCGCCCTACACTACGCCTACCGGTACGAGGCTGCCACTCGAGAACCTTTCTTCCCCATCGGTTATCGGTTCTTCGAGCTATATGGCCGGCCCATTGCCACTTCAGCTTACTAATCCGTTGGGCTATGTCGGTCACTCTGGTTCTACTGCGGATATCCTCATTTCTGAGTCTATCACGCAGAGAAACTCCGAGCATAGCCCTCTCCATAGCTCGCTGAGCGACCTTGAGCGTCCTCATACGGCCAGCAGTGAAGGACCACGTCTCTGATCCGTAAGTCATCACTGGCAACACGCACTGGTTGTACACTTTAGTTTTCAGAGATTGAGGTATACCTGACGAGAAGATGTGTCGTAATTTCCCGAACGCTGCCCAGCCGAGTTGAATCCGTCGATTGACCTCTCGGTCGAAGTTGGACTTACCTAGTCGGACTATTTGTCCCAGGTAAACGTACTCGTCAACAACTTCGAGCATAGTGCTCCCCACAACTACCGGCATAGGTGTGACATGGACATTGAACATAATCTTTGTTTTGTCCATGTTCATCTTAAGACCTATCCGTTGGGAGACACCATTGAGGTCATTGAGCATAGTGCTAAGGTCCTCCAGCGATTCTGCCATAAGGACTATATCGTCGGCAAATCGAAGGTGAGTGATGTACTCGCCATTGATGTTAATACCGTATCCTTTCCAGTCCAGTAGCTTGAAAACGTCTTCCAAAGCAGCGGTGAAGAGTTTCGGGGATATAACGTCACCCTGTCTTACACCTCTCTGCAGTTGGATAGGTTTCGAGCTCTGGTTCTGTACTCGGATAGCCATCGTAGCCCTACTGTACAAACACTTCAGCACTTCGATATACCGACAGTCAACTTGGCACCGCTGAAGGGACTGCAGCACCGCCCAAATTTCGACGGAATCAAAGGCTTTCTCATAGTCCACATACGCCAGGCAAAGTGGCAAATTGTACTCTTCAGTCTTCTGTACAATCTGCCGCAGGGTATGTATGTGGTCTATGGTACTGAAGCCTTTTCGGAAACCGGCTTGTTCGGGAGGCTGGAAGTCGTCGAGTCTGCTTGCGAGACGATTCGTAATGACTCTCGAAAACAGCACGTAGACGCGGCTCAGAAGGGAAATCGGTCTGTAGTTCTTCAAGAGAGCGTTGTCGCCTTTCTTAAAGAACAAGACCACCGCACTTCTGCTCCACGCCTCTGGAGTAGTGCCACCATGGAGGACAGAATTGAAGAGCTTCTGAAGGACTTCAAGTACCGGTGTTCCACCCGCTTTCAGAAGCTCCGCTGTAATTCCATCCTGGCCCGGGGCCTTGCCGTTTTTAAGGTGTTGGAGAGCCATTCTAATCTCGCTCAGACTGACGTCCGGGATATCATCGGAATAGTGTCGGATAAGACTTGCTCTTGGATCGTTACTCACACTTGAGTGTGGCTCCAACGATGATGTGTACAGCTGCCCATAGAACCTCTCAATCTCACTCAGAATCTCAGGTGTCCCGGAAACGATGTTGCCACACTCAGTCTTCAGCTTTGACAGTTGGCTCTTTCTGGCAGACAGATCTCTGGCAAAGACTTTGGAGCCCTGGTTCCGCTCGATCGCTTCTTTAATACGAGAAGTATTAAAGTTGCGTAAGTCTCGCCGCATGCATTTGGAGATCTGTCTGTTCAGTTGCCTGTATGCTGTCAAATCTGTTGACGATTGCAGCCTCATCTCCCGTCTAACAGCCATGAGATTAAGAGTGTGATCGGAGAGTTTTTGTGTTCTTCTGCGGCGGGTCTTGCAGAACTTAGCTCCGACCGCATGGACAGTTTCCACGAGCTTGTCATTCATATCGTCCACTGCATTGCAATCTTGTAGGCACTGAAAGCGGTTGTGTAACTCGAGCTGAAAGTTTTCGGGATTCTGGATTAGAGCACGAGGGGGACGGAGCGTTGACTTCATTAGACGAGACCTCTCCAACTTAACGTTTAGGTTCAATGTGCCTCTAACCATTCGGTGATCGCTGCCAGTTTTCACCCTTGCGATCACTGAGACATCACTGAACAGTTGGCGTCTGGTCGTCATAATGAAGTCAATCTCATTTTTTGTCGAACCGTCGGGGCTCGACCAGGTCCACTTCCTGTGGGGCCGCTTCTGGAAGAAAGAGTTCATCATAAAGAGTCCCTCTTTCTCCATAAAGTCGGCCAGCTGCTGGCCCCTTCGGTTCCGTTGCCCTATTCCAAATTTCCCTAACTTCAGCTCACCGTTTTCTCTTGTGCCTAGTTTTGCGTTGAAGTCTCCCATCAACACCGTGTAGTGGGTTTTGGAGGAATGCATGGCTTTGGAAATATCCTCATACATTTCCTCCACCTCCTCATCGGAATGTGCCGAGGTTGGTGCGTAAACCTGTATGACCTTCAGCGAATACCGTTTGGTGATTCTGAGTATCAGGTACGCGACCCTCGTCGACACACTCCCAATCTTTACAACGTTGTTAACGAGAGACTTGTGGACGATAAATCCGACACCTCCTTGGGACAGATGGTCGCCCTCCCGGTGATAGAACAAGTTGCCGGATTCGAGAATCACCGTGTCCTCCCCCTCTCTTCGGACCTCGGATAATCCTATAATACTCCAGCGCAACTTGTCTATCTCTTCTTCCAGCTCCAGGATCTTCTCGTCAGTCCTCAGTGTGCGTGCGTTAAATGTTGCCAGGTCGAGTCGTCGTAGGTGGCAACCGAACCGCCTTCGATTACCGACCGTTAATAGTAGTTAGACTGCACCCATACATTGTACCCGGGTTTCATGAGCTCTAAATAAAATGTATAAGTATCTTGTTTACATCAAACGTAAAACACCTACACATCAGGTATTCCGTTTGTCGAACCACCTGTAGAGGGACATAAATCAATCAATTAATAAGCGAAGAATTTTATTATTTCTCGTCCACCATTTGACATTGTCTTTGAATACGCCTGGCACTTGAATATTAATTAAGACAGTAGTTATTATTTTTATACTATTAGACCATCGGCTGGCTCGATGTGTAAGTGTGATGCTGATCTAGTCGTCCCAGGGTGAGTTTAGTTTGAATTCTGGGTTGGACCAAAGTAAGTTATTGGTTTTTCTGTAAATAAATTCTCAATAGCGGCTCAGAGTTAGGGTCAGTCAGCAGTTAGCAGTGTTTAACCTCGGAAATCACGTATAGCCGTTAGTCCTGTGCTTGATCTCTCTCTAGTCATGTCAGATTTCCATCCCATCAGACTATGAGTTAAGTTTATATTTTAGAGTTATACCCGTGCACTATAATCCTGTCCTGCACAGATGGCCAGTCTCCGTTAAGACTGGAAATTAGGTCTGAAAGTCATAACATTATTTTTTATATTTTTGTTAATAAATAAATAACTATTATGACATACCGAGATGAATTGCTCTTCATCCTGTTAACAAATATCTCAACTTGAGATTTAAGCGATTCAATAAATTCATCAATCTCTTTATCTTCGGCATCATCTTCTTGTGCTTTGTTTGTTGTAACCTTTGGAAACTCCGGCTGTAAGTAACAGAGTGCTTTAAAGTAATGAAAAAATTATCCTAGAATAACTAACTAAATAGTTGTGCATATCTGTATATATTTTAGCCTAAATGATTTAATACATATAAGGTTGTTTGTGGTATATAGTTTTGATGTAATTGTGCTATAATTGTAATGTGTGCATATGTGTGTTCGTGATTTTTGTGTCATGAAAATATCTGGTAGTGTAACATTTGTAAATGTGTTTTTTCTTGTAGTAATAAAAATGATCTGGTTCAATAAACGTTTCTTTTTTTATATAGGAAAGGGGCAAACGAGCATACGGCTCACCTGATGCTAAGTGATTACCACTGCCCATGAGCAACTGCAACAGCAGGGAAATTACAGATGCGTTGCCGGCCTCTTAAAAAGGAGTAGGCTCTTTTCTTGAAGGTCCCTAAGTCGTATCGGTCCGGAAAAATCTCTGGTGGTAGTCTAACTTATAAGTATGTACATAATGGTAATAACTAATTGTAACATCCAAAATAATTTTATTCCCATTTTCGTGACAACCCCTAGCATACAAGCTAAAGCGTGTAAATATGCTTCACAAAGGCGATTCACAACTATAAGGTATTGAAACTGTCAATATCAAAAACACATAATAGTCTGTGTGCGTGTGTGCGTGCGTGCGTACGTGCGTACATGTCATACCTCAGTAGCGTCGTGTACGGGGTTCGATGCTGGCGCGGAGGCGGGCGCGGTGGGCGCGGGCGCGGAGTCGCGCGACAGCCGCTGCTCCCAGTAACTGCGGTCGAGGTAGCGCGACAGCTCCGAGCTCGCTGCGGTGCTGTGCTCTGGGGACGCGCTCACTGACGACGCACTTGGCGATACTGGAAACCACTTCATTATTTGAACAATGTGGCCTCGCTGTCTGTACTCTGTAAATACTTATAATATTTATAGATAACAAGGACTAAAGTATTTATAATAATTTACAACAAACAAACAAAAATGTTTTTAAAGTGTCTATAAAATGTTATTGAACTTTCTGAAATGAAGATTCAAACTACTTTTACGGATTTTATCGCGTTTATTTATGTTATTTTTAATACCCGACGTTTCGGGTGCTTTCTAGCACCCATGGTCACGGGGGACTGAGGTGACTGACGTCCAGATGTCAAAGTAAACCCGGAGTACCTTCAACCTTTTAATTATTGTCCACCCCCGTGACCATGAGTGCTGGAAAGCACCCAAAACGTCGGGTATTAAAAATAACATAAATAAACGCGATAAAATCCGTAAAAGTATTTTGAATCAAAGTATAGTGTTTGCGTAAATATAAGAAATCATTTCTGAAATGATGTCAAAAACATATTTTGATTAGTAAAGCTTATTAAACAAAGAAGCATTTAAAAAAAGTATAAATAAATAAATAAATGACCAAGACCGTACTTACTAGGCTGCACTAAAAGTATCGGGAATGGAATATTTTCACTGTTCCTGTCATATTAAAATCGTTTTAATTGAAAACTCCTTGGTTTTAAAAATCGAATACCATTTATTTATTTAAAAAAAGATTCACGGTCTTGACACAAGGTTTTGTCAAACTTGTTTAGTCGTTGAGAAAATGGAATTGACTCGATAAAATTCAAGAGCGATGATTTATTATGACTTTCGAAGTGGTTTATCACAAAAACAGTGTGTTGACCGGATGATTTCTGCATTTGGTGGTGAAGCCCCATCCAAAACCACAATTTATCGCTGGTTTACTGAATTTCAACGTGGACGTCTCAAGCTCAGTGATGATCCCCGTCAAGGTCGTCCAAAAACTGCAGTCACCCAAGAAAACGTTGATGCTGTGCGTAAGCTGATTGAGGAAGATCGACATGTGACATACCGCGAAATTCAGGCAAACTTTAGACATTGCCATGATTCAAATACAAATAATCTTGTATGAACAATTAGGTGTAAAAAAATTGTTTTCCCGATGGATATCGCATTCGCTCTGTGAAGAGCAAAAAGCGGCTCGCGTTACTTGGTGCGTCAGAACTCTCGAAATATTCCACGCAGGATCTTCAAATGCTGTATACAACATCGATCGATCAGGCGACGAATCCTGGATATACGCGTACTAACCCGAAACAAAAAACCCAGTCACGAGTTTTGGTGTTCGAAAATGAGTTAAAAGCCAACAAAAATTGTTTGTTCACGGAGTGTTGCAAAAAAAATGGTGGCCACGTTTGTCTCCAAAACCGGCCCGGTCATGTTACGACTATTCCTCTTGAGGGACAAAGAATGGTTAGTGCAGAATGGTATGCTAGCATTTGTTTGCCACAGGTCGTTTCTGAACTCCGTAAAGAGAACTGCAACCGCCGCATCATCCTCCATCACGACAATGCGAGTACTCACACCGCACACAGAACAAAAGAGTTTTTAGAGCAAGAAAACATAGAATTATTTGACCATCCGGCGTACAGCCCCGACCTAAGCCCTAATGATTTCTATACTTTCTCTAAAATAAAGAATAAGTTGCGTGGACAGAGATTTTCATCACCTGAAGAAGCTGTGGACGCCTACAAAACGGCCATTTTGGAGACCTCAACTTCCGAATGGAATGGTTGCTTCAAGGATTGGTCCATCGTATGGAAAAATGTGTCAAATTTCGCGGAGAATACTTGAAAAGCAATAAATACATTTTTAAATAGTAATGTTGTGTTACTTCCTTGATTCCCGAAATTTTCAGTGCTGCCCTCGTAGTAAATATTAACTAAAAAAAAATGGACATATTTGTCTTTGATTTAATTCATATTGCGGACGACGTACTAGAAGTGTTACAATATATTTATTACAAATAATAAATTATAACCGAATCTAACTATTCCAACGGCAGCAGCACTAACATGAAATGCATGTAATTAATTGTAAAACTAATTAACATCTGGCTCTCAACCAGAACAAATCAGTGGATGCATGGTCATTTAGAGAAAAATGTTAAATAAAAGAAGACCCAACAAGCTAGTTATTTTTATTTTATAATGACGGCATCATTTAAATATAATTTACCATCCAAACGCTAATAACATTAAGTCACATTTTACAATATTCTTTCAGAAAACAATAGCACTTTTTAAGTTTTGTAAAAGATTATATTTCAGCAAGAGTCTTTTCGAAATCATTGTTAGATATTTATAAGCCTTTCCAAGAATACACCACTTCACAAGCATCGACCTCTCAATGCTCATAAACTAAATAAAATAAAACATTACACCAGTCTTGCAATATCAGTAACAATAGGTTGAAGTGCGTCTGGGGTGACCCACGAACCGCGTACATTATATTGATATAATCGTTAACCATAAATAAATTAAAATACTGTTGAGAGGTCGACGGGAAAACCCCAAAGTACCCTTGAAAATTTTCCCATTCTCATTACTTTACGTCGTTGTTTAATACCAGTAAAACGGTAACACTAAATTAAAATCAACGGCTGTTAATCAATTTAGTGTATTTATTTAGTTATTGATGGCTGGTGAGGAATATCAGTTTGAGATTTTTACTCACCAGTTGGATGCAAGGATGTGTCAGGTGCAACCAGGGTACGAGATCTACGTTCTTTCTCCTTCTGTTCAGCTTCAGACTGGCTCAAAGCTAATGCTAGCTGTAATTCTTCTTCTTCTTGCAATTCCTCTTTAGTTTTTTCATGAGTCTAAAAAAGTAAATAAATGTAGTGTTATAATATGATTAATGAAAGAGCTATAAATATGCTACATTTAGCAAATATTATAGTATACTGTTAATAATTATTTAACGACGAATTTTAAGCGGGTTCAAAAAATAGACCATTAAATATTATGTATTCGATGGGTATATTTTTTATGTATGGATAAGGCCATTAGGCTTCAGAGGTGGCCCTAGGTGGTGGGTGAAAAAGTTTACAATGTAACTATTTAGACGACAGTCTAGTTTTTACTTTGAACTTGTGATATTTCTCTTAGTCCACTAAAATGGTAAAGATTACTTTTAATAAAAAGTAAAAATAAAAAAAAAATTATAAAAATTAAAGAATAAAAATATTTTCATATAATTTCATATCATAGCTTCTGAAATCACACATCAGGTACCAGCCATCAGCTGACTGGTCCGTTGGGCTGCAGATGTGTGCAAAAGTATTCCCGTGGCCCTATTATGCGCCGAAGCCGTGCGAGTCCGACGAGACGTTATCCGTCCCTGCCTTTGTATTCTCCCATAAAATAAGACATGCTTATGTTACGGAGAAAGTGATTCTGGGTGTGCACATAAACTCTCGATATCATTCTTAAGTTGTCTTTATAGTAGAAGTTAGCCAGCAAAACTTTAGTCTTATTTCGTTTTAATAAAAATATATATCTAATATTTAAAAATATACAAATTCATGAGTATCAATTTTTAAGAAAATCATTTTAAATTCTTTAATTTATTGATTAACTCCTAAATAGCTTGGTAATTCTGGCAAATTAGTTTATGAAAGAGACCTATGATGATTAAAGTGACTTTTTCCAGGCCGAAAATGATGAAAGAAATTATTATTAATAACATTATTCTACATACAGCATTATAAACAGTACAATTTTATTCTAATACTAGTTGTCTAGTGAAAAAATAAAAAGTACTTATTTCTTTATTTACAAAAATAAAAAACGGCCAAGTGCGAGTCGGATTCGGGCATGAAGGGTTCCATACCATCGAAAAAACACGTTTCTATTGGGGGGAATTTTTATTATTTGTTATTATAGCGGCAACAGAAATACACATTCTGTGAAAATTTCAACTGTCTACCTATTACGAATCATGGGATACAGCCCGCTGGCAGATATATAGTAGACAGACACACGGACGGACGGATGGACAACGGAGACTTAGTATAGTTAAACAGCTCATTTGCTAACTACAGAGAAAAGGGCTGCAGAAAGAGAAAAGTTTGATCGCCTTTTGAAGGAAAAAGAGGAAGAATGAGTGATTAAGACAGTCCCGTTGGTTATCCTTCGGGTACGGAACCCTAAAAAGTGGGTCATTTACAAATTTGTTGATACCACTTTTTAAGTAAATATAAAACTATAGCAGAAGGCTCCGCTCTTATGTTATTAAAGTTATAAGCACTTTTATACAAATAAATTACTAAAATAATGATTTATACTTGTGTGTGTGTGCCTAGCCGAGTTTTAACATCACATTTAAAAGTCACACTCAAAATGGGATTAAAAATGTTAATCTCATGCTAAGATATTCTCTTGTATCTGGGAGGCGTTTTACACATATGAATTGCACATGGACAAAATTGATTCATACCTGGAACAACACTTGTAGGCCATACAAATTCGTGCTCGATGCAGAATTCAAATCCACGGCCCCATAGTAATGAGGTCATAGAGCTACCAAACAGACCTTTGTCCATGCTGATAAATGTATTGTAATATTTATGTACCTACATACTAAATTGTAACTGTATTAAAGGTTTTATTGACTACTGCTCAAATTTTGTTTCATTTGTTAGTTGTGTGACAACAAATTGCCAGGCACAGAAATCCACTTATTTTAATTATCTTTTTTACTTATATTACAGTCCATCAAAAGTTCACAGATAAACAGGTCTACTCTACCCCATAGATTGCTTTGTCTCATAGGGATTTTGCCATAGCTGTTATGCTTTGCAGGAGTGTTGTTAACTGAGTTTTTTTATTTTTAGTTATGAAGATGCTGCTGCCTATCTCATTCAATTTTATTAATACCATACATTTTCGAAAAATAAACCATATGGTTTACACAGCAGTGTTTTCACATTTGCGTTTCTGTCAGTCAAGTTTGAAAAAGAAAACAGCAATGCATTTTTTTTATACCAGTAAGGTTTACAAAAGAACACACAATCAAACACCTGATGGTAAGTGTATGTTGTGTGTGGCCCATGCACATTACATTTATACCAGATTAAGAATCAATATGCCCATTCATTATCACTCGAGGATTAGAATGAAATTCCTCGTTACAAGTAAAATGAAAAAGCTCTCCAGTGCTAGTTCACCATACAAAACACCGCAACATAATTATGCTATTTCACGCTGGTATTCTGAAGAATCGTGGTCCTACCCCAGTCAAGCCAATCCATTCATACTAAAGCCTTAATACATTGCAGTATGGCTCCACTGTTTATGAAATATGTAAGACAAACGAGCACACAGTTCACCTGATGGTAAGTGGATGCTTAGGCCCTTGACATCTAAATCTATCCTCAATTGAGAATCAAAATTTAAATGCCCTACCAACCCTGATGACTAAGATGGAATGCCTCATTTCCAATAAAAAGAATCTCCTGTTCTCTACACATACCATATCAAACACAGAAGCATTAAGCTGCTACTTTACACTGGTATTCTGTAAGTGCATGGTACCACCCCAGTCGAGTCGACCCATTTGTGCTACAACAATAATATAGCTGCCACTTGGCTTTGTCCCATATGGCTTGTCTAGAATCTCAATTTTGTGAAGTTTCTTATAATTCTAAGTTATTATAGTCTAAAAGGTGTCATTTTTATCACTCACAAATACACACATCAAAAACCTAAACCACTTATAAATAAATTAGAAACTTTAAATTTGGATGTTTTGTAAAAGATAAAATATATACTTAGTTGCGAAATTGCAGACACCAGTCGATGTAAAAATAACACTAACACCTATCTCTAAAAACAAAAATGTGTGAATAGAGGGCAAAGTTGAGTACAAACACCATTTGGGGTCATTGGCTTTGTCGATATAAAAGTTGACACCTTTATGTGTGCCAAGTTCCTAAATTCATAGCTAGAGAAGTAAGATAATATAATGATTCTGTTGACAGGTTTTTATCCACCTAAATTGTATGTAGAATAAAATTATTTAAACATTTTTGCCAGGTTAAAAATCCAATATCAAACAAATTTTCTTGGTATTCATATTTTTATTAAAGAAAACAAAAACCTATGATTAATGGAAATTCTGTGGAGCTTTGCATCTATAATGAAATTAACCGCTTTATTGGCAAAACAAACTGACGACCTAGAACTTGCATTTAAATTTGCTCTCTTCACATTTATGTTTCTGATAAGATTAAGTGAAACAGTCTGATTATGAATGTGAAATATATAAGACAAAGACAGGAAAATGAACACTCAGTGATGTCATGGTTAAAAACGAAAAATTAAAAATTAATGATTCACTTATAATAATTTTTAAGACTAAGTCTATAATAAAAATAAAAGGTGAAAGCTATATTACAATATTAGTTAAAGATAAAACAGGAGTAAATCTCTCAAAGTTATATCAATAATAGTAAAGCACAAATAATGCAATTCTAAAGTACCATAATTACTTTAATAAGTTTAATCCATAATAAAGTCATTTTTACAAAAATGCGTGCAAAATGTGTATTAGTTTTGTTTCAATCGTCTAACAAATTTTGGTGTTTCAGGCACAGTAAGAGGCTCTGAAGACTTTTGAGGTATAAATGGTTCTACTACTGGTATAGGCTTAGCATGATGAATAAGTTTAGCTCTTATTGCTGCTTGTGCTCTCTCCTCGACTTCCTTCTGTTCTCTTTCTTTTTGCTGTCTTAATCTCTCATTTTCTTCCTCTTTTTCCTTCAAAAGGCGATCAAACTTTTCTCTTTCTGCAGCCCTTTTCTCTGTAGTTAGGTCAAATGGAGCTGGTTTAACTATTTGGCTTGGTGGATGGACAGGTTTAAAAGGCGCTTTATATAAAACAAGAGGAGGACGTGCTTCAAATTTGAAATGATTCTCCTTATTCTCTGAGGAAGCATTAGATGAAGTACTTTTGCCGGATGCATTATGCATTTGCTTTTTCACTGCAGCTGGTAAAGGCTGAGCCTTAAACTGAGATGCTAATTTCCTTTCTTCCTCCAACTGACGTTTAATTCTTTCTTCCCTGCGTTTTCTCATCTCTTCATCCCTCTTTTCAAATGAAAAAGGTTCTGGGCGTACAGGTCCATGTCTTTGTACAATTTCATAAGGCTTTGGCATTTTCTGTATTTCCTTCATAACAACGTTATTTTTCTTATCACACTTAATTTGATCAGCCGAACGACCTCGTCTGTAATGGATGTTTGGACTAAATGCTTTAGTAGTGGTGGGTATTTGAGGTTTCTCTAATATATGTTTGGGTGCAGGACGAGCTTTAAAATTATGGACAGTTTTTGGGGATTGAATTGTCTTCTTATGAATCTCAGTTAACTTAAATGGTTCTGGAATTGTAGTGGGTTTTCTAGGTACCTCTGGTAAATTCTTGGTGCCTTCTATCACCGATTTAGGTACAGGATGAGCCTTTATTTTAAAATTTTTCATCTGTGCTATTTCGATGTCCTCCTTTTCTTTTAGCGACAAAACATGAACTGGTCTTGATCGTTTTTTACACCGAAGCATTGGAGATTGAGGTACAGTAAGTCCAGAGGGTCCTGTGTTACTTTGAGAGCGAAAAATTTGAGGACGTGTTGAATGAAAGCGTCCAGGTGTATCACGTTGAAAATGATAAATAGACTCTGCCAACGAAACAAACTTTGTTTTAGACAAATCATGATTACTGCTAGTAGGTCTGCGATATCTTGGCTCTTGTACATTTTGTAAATCCAATTTTGCAAAATCTTTCAGAGCTGCAATGTCATTCATTGATAATGATTTTTTCATATTTCCATAACCATTTACACAGGCAAAGTCAAAATTATTGTAATCCACAAACTCTTCTTCACTAGGCGACACGGGTTCATCTTTAATATGTAATTTTCCGTTTGGAGTAAAAAAACTTTCACCACGAAATTTATTCACATAGTTCTTAGCCATTTTAAATGTTGGCGTAAATATAAAACTCAGTTATGTTTCTTCTATTTGTATGTTGACGCGTTATGCTCAGCCGTTAACAATTGCACTAATTTGAAATCTGAATGACAGACTTTGTAAATGTTGCACGTATGACGTACCTATGGTATTAGAATTCACTTGCCATTGCAAAAAAAGTGATATGATACAAAATTATTGAATTGAAAAAAAAAATCTATTCAGATTCTTACATTAAATACGAAATAAAATATCATGAATAGTTTAATACATTAAGGTAACATTATATAGCTCATATTTATATAATTGTTTACTCGGAATGAAATTAATTTTATGTCAATTGTCAAACTGACAGATAAACGCGGAGAACGGAGGTAGAAGTTAGAACAGTCAAACAATAAAAAAAGTATATTCAATATCCAGTGAAGCTATAAACTGTAAAATTTTATTTCGTTATCTAATAATTATTTAGATTCACTCCATTCTTAACAAAATGTCACAGTCTTTGCCTAATCCAAATACCTTGTTGCCGCTTGAGCTAGTGGATAAATGCATAGGATCTAGAATACATATTATTATGAAGAACGACAAAGAAATGGTGGGAACATTGCAAGGTTTCGATGATTTCGTCAATATGTTGCTAGATGATGTCACGGAATATGAATCTACACCAGAGGGAAGGAAAATAACAAAACTGGATCAAATTTTGTTAAATGGAAATAATATTGCTATGTTAGTGCCTGGAGGCGAAATGCCAGGAGAATCTTATGAAGGGCATTGATAATAAAATTTTGTAATAAATTATTAAAAATAAATACTTTTGATGTTTATTCACAAAGTCCCTTGATTACTTCATTGAATACTTGTAAAGGTAACCTATTAAAACTCCATTGCATAACTTTGTAATCTAGTTTGATCCCATAATGAATCCTCAATTATAGCCAAAGAATTAAACAATAAACAACTTCATTTCATTATTCATTTTTTTAGGTTAGGTAAAAAAATGCATTTGTGATAATGAAACAAAATTACCATTTGAACTATCATTTTTAGTATTTTAAGAAAAAATGTTATAAAAATGGAAATGTTTGGTTACAGACAGAACCATTTAATATAAAACAAATTTGGTAATAAATTCTTTCAAGTTAATAAAAATTGTATTAACCATTTTACTGTGCTGGGAGTCTTAAATGAACATTTCAATTGTTTAACTATTGTTTTTACATAGATAGGGAAGTTGTTAAATCATATCATCATAATCAGAACATGTTGGTATGGTGGTATCATAATATTTCGTGTAAGTTATGTATGGTAAAGGTAATAATTTAAATAGGTTACTTTAAGCTGTTGGATTGACAAACACACTATTAAAACCATTATCAGATGCTCTTTTATTTAATATGAATATATTTTATTACAAGCAATATTTACTGAAACAACAGTTCTTTTCAAACCCTTGTAATTTTTACAAGGGTTCGGAAAAGAACCAGCTAGAAACCTAGTGGAACTTTTTTTCAAAGTAAAATTATAAAATAAAACAGCTTGTAAGCATCATTCCATTCCCCGGGGGTTATTATCAATCATGTATTAATTTTTATTATAATAACCTGTTTTAAACAGTTTTTGTTTAAAATATTAAAACTTGGTAATAAAGACCTTTTATATTCCATGAATGAATTAGGTACCGACTCTATGGGGGCAAGCAACTGTTATCACGCCTCAGTCACTCTTGCTACCTGCGTGAAATAATTACCTACAATTGTGAGGCACCCCGGGCTTCATATGCAGTCGGGGCTAGCGCATTGTAGGGGATTGAATGCTAAAGTTTTTTAACGATTATAACGTAAATAGTTTTTTGTAAATACTTATTGACATAGTTTTTGATCAGTGTTTGGTATATTGGATTTAATTTAAAAATTTATATATATTATTTACATTACCTGTTTGATAAATTATAATGGCATAACATTGTTTCTACTATAATTGTTGCGTGGATGAATGCTAAATGACCAATATAAGATTTCAGATACATCATTCTTTAAGTTACCGAAGGATTTAAGAAGGAAGCTATGAAAGGTGACTTTACTTTATATTTTACTTGTTATGTGGGTACTTTAGCAAAAAAGAATTAAGTAATAATTTGACTACAGAAGAGTAGTAAGTTAGTATTATCCCATACCTAAGAACTTTATTAAAAAACTTAGTTGAAATTAACTTCACTATCCAAGTATCTACTTACATACATGTCTTTTTTAATTAAAATATTTTCAGTTATAATAACACTAAATATTAAAACTGTTTACTAACAAGATTTTAATTATGTTAGGAATCATATATCAGGTTTATTTATTGTTTACACTATCTACCTATTTCTTCTGAACCAAGCATCCGATTCCAGATGAATGGCCTTGCAAGTTGCATGCGTTGGGCATTGCAGAACTCATATAGGTTCGAAAAAATACTAAGTCGATCATAGTCAGAATAGGTAATTTACCTAAGTAGCTTAATTAACATTTTGCAATTTATTTTTTTACTCTTTATTGACAGCCTTGACACTCGCATGCAGCACTAAGTTTTATTTAGCTTGCGTGCGCGATTTATCTAATTAATAATAATTATGTAGGGCATATATAATAATTATTAATTAGATAAATGTATAGCCTATATTGTAGGCTATTAAACATCGGCAACCAGTCAATATCAAAGGAGTGCAACTTCTGTAGGTAGTCCTATTATTTATTCTGAGCCGACATCATCAGCCTGTTTGTTCAATGTCGACACAATGTATCATATATATACATATTATCACTCTTTTATTAAAACCACTTTTGCTTTTGTGAATATATATTAAATTTTCATAAATACCTATACTGAGAGGCTTAAGTTAATATAACATAAATTACTTAAAAATTTTCTAAGAGAGACTTTTGGTTTGGGTTTTTCCGTTCCAAGTTAATACTGATATGTATGTCAAAAAAGCGGTTCTTTACTTGCTGGACTTTAAACAATGATCCTTAAAATAATAAATTATTTGGTTTAATGCTGGACAAACAACTACATTTCACGTACGTTTGGTATTTTTAAATTATTCTCCTACTACTAATCTGCTAGTTGTTAATGATAAAACTAATCATTTTAAAATGTTGGAGCAGATTTTATGGTAGTAGTCAATACAACCAATATGTGGTAAAGTAAAAGTAAGTGTTTATTTTGATAAGGTCCCCAAGGAAAAAGACATACTATTTGAACTTGTATATAAATTGTGAAAATAGAATTTAACGATTTTACATAAAACGATTGTTTAAATGATATTAAAAAAAAACTACGCAATTTACAATAAAACTACAAATTTGGAAATGTTGTTCTTTAATTTCAATATTCTGGCTTACCTGATTTGGAGTTGTACTTATTTCACTTCCAAGGATGCTTGATTTAGGTTTAGCAGTAGATGATGGTGGGCGGCTGACTTTATCATAACATGCATCACAAACGCGGACCTGTAACATTACTTATGGTAATAAAAAAGCCAAGCATGTCTTTTTAATTTTTTAAGTAGACATTTTTTTAAATAAGTAAACTTGTATTTAAATAAAAAAATACAGTTTGACCAAACATCAGTAAAGACCAATAAAAACCTGCATTAAAGAACACAATTGATGGGAATCTATCAGATTTGACAGACCATAAATCTTGGCTAAAGAACACTGATTATCATAAAATCTAAAAACATCCTAATTTGAATAGAAAAGCTGGTTGGGTGCGACCAGCTTGGGATAAAATTAATAAAATTAAATCCCAACTGAAGCATACAACTGCAAGAATTCAAGAATCTATAAGTTTATACTGTATATATTGGATTAAAAATTAATTATTTTGTTCTGAAGGTAGTAGTGGTTAACAACGACATTGGTACGTCGAACATCTCAGTCCCCCTGTGACCACACTGTGTGTAATTTGATCAAATGGAACGAACGGGAATGAAAAATAAGTTAATATACGCGATAAAATCTTTAAAAACTAGGTTTATTTTAGTATTATATTTACACCCTAATATTTATAGGATATTCTTAAAAAAGATATATACTAACAAAAATTACATCGTAACTAATCTACAGAGTAGCATAATTATATACAGCTTACCTCCTTTTCTATGCCAAATTTAGGCAAAGTGGATGTCTTAGAACTGCATTGTTGGCAAAACACTTGGCCACAAGCTCGACAATGATGGCGTCTTACCATTAATGAAAATGCAACACGACATCTACACAAGTGTAACAATTACAAATTAATTAAATCATCCTTTTTATAAAAAGCAATAAAAATATGTTTATTGATTACATCTTGTATGATATTATGTAAAATTCAAAAGAATCAATTTGCCTCCAATTTACATGGGTGTTTTACACAGAAATCTTAATAATAAGATAATAGAAGTCACATAGACGCGTGACCTTGTCGCCGCTTATATGGGTTGACGAACATAATTCACCATTTTGTGATTTAGTTGTGCGGGGAACGTCGTACGTGAATTTTTTTATTATAAATTTATAATGGTGCACTGCAGCATAATCAGTTTTAAAACTCATCAAGGATGTGTAATTAAACTAATAAAGGCATAACATTTTATCAGTAAATTGAATATTTACTAATTATCATTGTTTTAATTAATTAACATCTAGATGACTACTTTACTACGGACATTTACCTTTGCAAGCTCATTTATTACTTTTTGTATTGTACAATTTCAATTGCTGCTTTCGTTCTATCGTAATATGCGACGCACGCGACGTTGACAAACTCGCCAAACAATGTAATGTGAAAATTAGATATCGTTGTTCATTGCCTATGTTTATAATACGGTAAGATGTTGGGGGACATTGATTTTGGAAGTAATCGAGCGCTAATTCATTTCTATTGTCTTATTATTACGATTTCTGTGGTGTTTTTTTTACAGTGCATCTTATCACCTTATGACTGAATCACACATTGCTAACATTTCTCTACCATGGTTGATTAAAAATGCATGTAATTTATAATAAAACTTCCTAGGTGGTAGGAATAGTTTCCTGCCCTGGTGTCCGTCTGGGTAGATATTACCATCTTACGTATTTCTGCTACCAATTAACTCTGCTTGCACTGCTGTGTTTCAGTCAGAAGGGTATAGAAAGCCACTATAGTTGTTACAGCCTGTGTGACATTCCATCTTAATCCACAGAAATGACAATGCATTTCACCTTTGTGGACATGTTCATTGTTCGAATTTCACAAGTCTACAATCTGTGGCTACCACTTACCTTCACTGTAATTCTATAAAAATTACTGCTTAAGATGTTAAAAATTAATTAGCCAAGATCCACATACTAAAACAAGTCTTTAAACTAAGTAAGACACATAATTTTATTTCATTATATTGATTTAAACTGATTAATTTTTAACATCTAATATAATTGATTTCTGCAAAGTAACGCGTGATATTTAATATCCAAAAAAAGCATCAAAATCCATGAAGTATTTATTTAGTGCTTATTTGTCCTTAAAAGTCTACTTCTGGACAAGGCCTCTCTCCTTTGGTTTAATGGCATACCTGGCAAGCATATAATTATTGACAATGGCGCAGTATTCTAGACTGTAAACATATTACACCTTTTATGCTAATAACCCTCACGGGGTTCTGGGTATCTTAAATCTGACGTAAGCAAGATAATTGTACTGTCATCTATGTATATTTCTGGCATTTTCCATTGTCGCCTTTTAAATATACCATTGGCTTAATGGGATCATGGATTATCTAAAGCCTCCACCACTGTATTAAGTATCAACACAGAATGAAAAATACTCAGTATCAATATAATGCTTATAATTATGGAAAAATATCAATATGTATATTAGTATAATTAAATGTAAAGGCCATGTTAAGTTTCATTTTACTGATTATTTCCTATTTCATAATAATTTAGATTGAGTAGAGCTATGTGAAGATATTTTTTAGTTACCTATAACATTTAATTGATAGTAGCTACTAGTTATCGGTATCAACTGTGAACCTTTATGTTGTAGTTTCGCATCTGCCATGTGACTACTGCTGTGAAACACTCCTATTACAAGCATTTTAACTTAGAGTGGCAAATGGGAAAATTAGTAATTACTACATTATTTGTAAATTTCAAAAACAAAAGAAAAATATAGAAAAACTTAATGTAATTGACACCGCAACCTCCTTTAATGTTTTAAATTTCAACAATCAAGCTTAATTGTGTTTATCAGTGGTTTATGTAATCTCATAATTATTTTTAAAATATCTTCCTGAAAATTCCACACACATACATGGGAAGTTTAGACAAAGGATTCTTCTGCTCTCTTTTCATGTTCATTATACAGAAGTGTATAAAATATATTGTATATTCTATATTAAAATTAAGACCTATATGTATTGAAAGAGGATACTCTCAAATTGTTTGTACAGGATAGGTAAATAGAACTTCTGAGGGACCTTGTCCCTGAAAGTGGAACCTTAAAGATATCATGATGGCATTGCTCTTAAAATATTTTTTCCAAACAAGGTAGGAAATCTCATAACATTGAAATATAACAAAATAAATTCAATTATGAATAAAGATGCATAATTTCAAAATCTGAACAAACCTGTGACAGACTTCTCCATCTGCCCATTCTGGTGCAGTATCAGCAGAAAACATTGCATCAGATTCTTTCAATGGAGGAAATTTAAAAGATTCAGCCTTAAGAATGGTCACAGTGTCCTGTTAAAAAGTACATGTATTTTAAGTACACATCACAATCAATACTAGTATAATTTGAACACTATAAACAATTTTTACAAAAACAAAGTCTCAGTTGCTGCATCAAATGTTTGCAAAGATATGATTCATACAAATGACTGATAAGGAAAAGGTAAAGTGAAATAATGACATTGTCATTCAGTGTTGAGTGTAACCTTATGAGTGTAAACATATGGCCATAAATAATAAAAAGAAAATTCCCAATAAGTTTTCACCTTAATAGGAAAATGACATCAATAAGATAAATAATAATATAGAGTTATAGAGTATATATTGCATACAATTTTCTAACTGATTAATAGTGTTAAAGTAAGCATTCTCAATGACACATTACATTTACAAAACATACTGTTAAAGTTAAATATTTAGATTTCAATTAAAGAAAAACTACAACAAACATACCAAACAATTAGAAAGTAAAGAAAGAGAAACATGTCCACATAACTCAATTAGGGTTAAAATAAAATCAATACAGTGAAAGTGACATTAAGTTTGTGACACTATAAAAAACAGTGTTGTTTGTTTTTTCAAAGATTCTGTCATTATAGATACATATCATTAATACATAAAGGATACTAAAAACTGCATTTGAATATAAAATGTAAATTTTTTATTGTGTTTTTATTTTTGTTGTTATTAACATTTCCAGCCATAAGAGAAAACTTTCCATGTAGTAATCTTGGACAAGCTGTACACTGTATTTACCATTTAATTATCTATTATAATATACTGAGTTGTGTCAATCTGACACAAATATGGTAGTTTATTTACTTGTATTATTAATTAAAATAAAGTTGTAAGTAAAATAGTGTGGCCTTGCAGATGTTCATTATATTAAAGAGAAGTGTGTATAAAAGCAAGTTAATTTTATTTTTTCTTATATATAATAAAAATATTCTAAGAAGTTATGTATATGTACAGATGTATTTACTATTAACAAATCTTTTTATTCATATTATTAGCTTACAGTATGTCACACATAATAAGAATATGTATATTAACTTACCTGCACAGCTCTATACTTTGGTGAGTTTCGGAATGCAAATGCCCATGCTTGTATAAGCTCTAGGATCTTACTGCGTAAGTTTTCATGTTGAGTTGACTTAACCAAGTCTTTAAGCATTTCACAGAATGCTTTAGATGCTACTTCATCATGCACTCCAGATCCTGCCATGAAAATTAAGTATATACCAAATCTATGTACAAGTCTATTATATCAAATGACATCATGCCAACATTTTAATAATATTGTATATAATGTATAAATGAAGTGTAAGTATAAAATGTTTAATGCAATCTGTTACGAATGATTGAATAATATGTGGTGTTCCTGTTGGTTTCTTCAGTGTTGTTTCGATTCGGTTTTAGCACAGCTATTAAAAAGCAATTGAATAAATTACTAGTAGTAATTTATTCAATCTTACAGATGCACCAATAAATATATGTAATAATGTCCTCCAGACCAAATTTCAACAAGGCAGCAAAACTCAGTGAAGACTAGCCATCATCTACACATGACAGGATTATTGTGCATGAGCATGCACAGGCACAGGTGCACTCTCTGTTCCCTTTCATAGTCTAATAGAATGACAATGACCTCAAAATGAGACCGGCTGATACTGAGAACCCAACAAACTAGTTTGGCCTGACTCAGGATTCGAACCCAGTACCACTCAACCAATGTGTACTTACTTTTAAAATATTACCAATCAAAATGATAATAAAAGAGAAATTATAAAAGTTTAATAGTATACTTGAGTTATTGGTATATAAATTATAGGTATGTAACTATAAAATTAAGTGGCTGAAGTTCTTTATTCTACATAATTATTTTTAAATTTTAACAAGAAATACAACTGTTCAACTGAAATTATTGCATTTCAAAGAGAAATCAAGAACACAATGAAACATTGAAGTAATTTCTTATCTCATTTAATTTTAGAACTCAACTTGTTTATAATAAGTAAAGTGCCACCAAGTTTTAATTATCCTCAGATAAAACCCATATTCAATATTGTTGTTAACTATATGTTTCTATAGATATAATTACATTTGACGCATTCTTTAAGGGACCCTATATTCATCAGTGGACATTAGAAGGGCTGTAATGATGGCAATGGAGTTAATATAATCAGAATATTTGAAATATATGAATGTAAGTACTCACCACAGTTTTTAACAATACTTTCAAGTGTCAATAGTGCAAACATAGCCTGATGAGGATTCTGTGAGTACAGCTTCTTTTTAACAGCCGCAACTGCATATTTGGGACTAAAATAATTGCAAATTAAAGTAAATTTAAAGAAAACTATTTTTTAAGTTATTTAATATTAGAAATAGGAAAAAGCACTCACGAGCAATCATTTTGTCTAATTAAATCACAAATTTGAAGGATTGTTGGCCAGTCGGGTTCCAGACGTAGATTGCTAGTTGCTTTATCTAGAACAATAATAATTTTGTGAAAACTAGAGTGACGTCAGTATTAGATGGTGCATATTGAACACAAAACTAAAACAAATAGAATGTTGTGCATAAGATCAATAAAGATCAAGAAAACGAAATTATAGAAAGTAAGGCAATCTTCGAGGAATTTGTATGTAATTATGTTGTTGTTATCACTCCTGATAAAACATTTCAAAATTAATAATCTAATTATATACTAACTTACCAAGTAATTTATCAAAATTATTAACCCGAAACATCTTTTTGTAGAATATTTATGAATTAATATTATTATTTTTTATAAAATATACTGTAATTAATCGCTCGATAGACAGAAAATGACAGTTCACTTTGTCAATTTTGTTATTTTCTAAACGTCAATAACAACGATCATAAAAAGTACTCTGTGTTCTATATTGCTACATAGACTTGAATCGTAGATAGAGAAACCTATAGACAAATTGACGCCTTCTTTCGCATTCGCACACGAAAAAGATAGATTTATGCATACGTCTTGCATAGAAATGAGACAGAGTGGCGTGATTGTTTGTCCCTTTCTCCGTGCCGGTTTTTTTGTGTAGCAAACTACACAAACAACTTTGCTCGCAACAGTTCGTAGCGATCTAAGGAGTTTACAAGTTGGTTTAAGTGAGAAAAAAAGTGTTTTGTGAGATTAAGATTGGTAAATCTTGTTCCGTTCAGTTCTTAAAATAATTAAAAACTTTAAAAATGGTTAGATGTAGTGTCTTAGGACGTAAAAGTGATAGTAAACGTAGTGACGTAAACTCACCGGTATAGAATTTCACTCGTAAGTATAGTACTGTTGCGCGCTATAATTAGCGCCGGGTATGTGGCGGCTGATTATTAGCGCCATATGGTATCAAGCAGTGGAAATAGGAGCGTCAAGGTCTTTTAACTCCAAGGATAGAAGAACTAATCTTTCGAAAAAACTCCACACTCGAATTTTCTATATCTAGTTGGTCGGGACCGGTATTTGCTGGAACATTCTAGATGCTTCGGTGGAAAAGGCCTATATAAAGCCGTTTGGGCCATGACTGGGGCAATAATGAATTGGCAATACGAGCGAAGCTTTCGGAGCGAAATAAAGTGAACTAAAGTGTTAAGTGCGATTAATTATTATTGTGTTTTAAGATTTAACTGGTGTGCGGTAATTAATGTTTAAATTTTGGTAATTCAATCGGCAGTTTTTACTGTCGCGAACCGTAAGCTCGTAATAATTGGTGTCAGAAGTGGGATCCGTGAGGATGCTCAGGGCAGACCACCTCAGCAACGAGTGGAAGGACAGCTTACAACGTGCACATCAGGAAGCTCCGGACATCGAGCCGATTCTGGAATGGATGAAAGCCAGTGCTCCCAAACCCAAGTGGAGCGACGTCTCAGCGATGAGTTCGACCACTAAAAGCTATTGGGCCCAGTGGGACAGCTTGCTGCTTCAGATGGAGTTCTGTGCTGTAAACGGGAAAATGTTCGGGGAGACAGCTGTCATTTGCAAATGGTTGTCCCTAAAGCTAAAGTACCGGATGTTCTACAGCTGTACCATAATGATTGTACAGGAGGCCACTGGGAGTTAAACGAACTCTACTGAAGATCCGAGAACGTTTTTACTGGGTCTACTTCCGAAACGATGTCGAGAGGACTGGCGTCGCAAATGTACAAGTTGAGCATCTGTAAAGGGACTTCAGACTCGTAGTAGAGGTGCATTGAAGTTGTACAATGTTGCTGCACCATGAGGGGAGAATAGCCATTGACATGGCAGGGCCGTTTCTGTAAAGTGAATGTGGTAACAAGTATTTCATAGTTGTGATGGATTACTTCACTAAGTGGCCAGAAGTCTCCGTCATTCCAAGTCAAGAAGCTTCAACAGTTGCAGATAAACTAGTTCATGAAGTCTTCTGTCGTTTTGGAGTACCTTTAGAGATTCACAGCCACCAAGGAAGGAATTTTGAGTCTCAATTATTCCAAGAAACTTGCCGAGTTATGGGTACTCACAAAACAAGAACGACTTGTTACCACCCGCAATCTGATGAAATGGTAGAACGATTTAATCAGACATTGGAGAAGTACCTAGCAAAAGTTGTAGACAATCGGAAACGAGATTAGGACAAGCACATACAATAGTTTTTGTTGTCATATCGAAGCGCTGTTCACGAAAGTACATCAGTGACGCCAGCCTTCGCAAACTTTGCAAGAGAATTACGGCTACCTGCAGACCTAATCACCGGGATACCACCTGATGCCCCACACGGTATAACCAATTATGCAAATGACTTGCAGAACAAAATGAATGATATTTATGAGCACGTCAGACAATCGGGCCAGCAAATGTCCGAAAAGATGAAAACCCGGTATGACCGCAAAATGAACAACAAAGGGTTCGACGAAGGTTTGTGGCCAAGGAGGGAAAAGGGATATATAATAAGTAAAGTGCCACCATGTTTTAATTATCCTCAGATAAAACCCATATTCAATATTGTTGTTAACTATATGTTACTATAGATATAATTACATTTGAGGCATTCCTTAAGGGACCCTATATTCATCAGTGGACATTTGAAGGGCTGTAATGATGGCAATAGATCTCCTGCCGGGCAAGGTGTTCTGCCCGGGAAGCGGCCAACGCTCCGTTTGATTGTTCGGAGATGTTCTATATATACTGTTTATGATTCGGAATATTGATAGCGTGAATTAAGCTTCGGTGTGTTTCGCTTGCGACGCGACGACAGTGCCGCCACAGGTTCACTAGTGTGGTTGCACAATCCAGTCCGCAGCAAAGGGAAATCTCCTAAGCTTCAAGCTAAATGGGACGGTCCGTACCAGATTGTGACCAGGATCAACGACGTAACCTACCGGATACAGAAAGGCGCAAGAGGTACTCTTAAGATCGTCCATGTGGATTGACTGGCGCATTACTATGGGGTCGATAATGCTCGGGAAGAGCATGTCTTAGGAGGGGGCAGTGTTGCGCGCAATAATCAGCCGCCACATACCGGGCGCTATAGTAACGCACCAGTCGATCCACATGGACGATCTTAGGAGTACCTCATGCGCCTTTCTGTATCCGGTAGGTTACGTCGTTGATCTTGGTCACAATCCGGTACGAGCCGGATGTTTCTCATTTTTCGTGCACATTACACGTCTAGGAGAAAAATCTTCATTATTTTATTAAATATCTACATTTCTTATAAAGGAAATCAAATGTAAAAATGTTATGCTTACATGCATGTAATATTTACAGATAAAAATAACGTAATAAATTAATGATAAATAAAAAACTTCAATATTTCTCATTATCTTCGGTGTCCATTTACTACTCTCCTAAAAAATTGTATTTTTAACCAAAAATATAAATATTAAATATAAAAAATAACCATATTGTGAAACTTTAATAAAAAGCACAAGATAACCCCACAATATAAAGAAATTTTATTTCATAAATGTTTATCAAAAAAAAAATTCTGAATACCGTCGGTTTAAGTGAAAATCTAAATTATAGTCCGCGTAATGTTGGAATGTCACTATACCACCATGGCGCGCCCCGCACAAGTCTTCGTCAGCCAACAAACATCGTAGAAGGTTCACGCTTGTCCGTGGAAAAAAAATATTTATGTGTAAAGTTTCGCGGGAGGTGATTATTCTGGAATCGTCCTCTTTCCTGTCGTCCATATTATTAAGTGAATATTAATGATTTTGTTTAATACGTAGTTAATTATCAATTCTAGTGATTACCGATGTAATTTAAAATAAGCACGAGATTCGTAATTTTGATATTTTTTACGAAACAATCGTTTACCGTCGTTTTTTAGCGATGGTGATGAGGTCAAAACGATGACAATTAGTATCAATTTTACGTCAATTTATTATTATTTATTACAGTGCATTATTACATTGCAAACCGTGAGTCGCGAGTTCTAGTCCCACCCATAGTTGAGTTTTTTTCCACAATAATACTACTACGATATAGTTACAGTAATACTTTAGTTCATAATAAAATAAAGAATTAATAGTTTTTACTTTGTTTCTTGATGTAGCTTTAAGTTTGTATAAATAGTAAACTCACAAGCTAGCCTTGTGAGTGTACTTTTTATTACTTTAGTTATTAAGGATGAGCTTGATATGATAAATATGAGCAATATCATATTATGTGATGTTACAAATTATTAAGAACTAATAATGCCAAAGAAAGCCAATAGTTTTTACTTTGTTTCTTGATGTAGCTTTAAGTTTGTATAAATAGTAAACTCACAAGCTAGCCTTGTGAGTGTACTTTTTATTACTTTAGTTATTAAGGATGAGCTTGATATGATAAATATGAGCAATATCATATTATGTGTTGTTACAAATTATTAAGAACTAATAATGCCAAAGAAAGCCAAACAAACATTAGAGCAGAAACGAGAGCGCGATCGATTACAAAAATAAGAAAGTATGCAGAAATTAAGGAAGATACTGAAAAGTATGCAGATCTGAAGGCAAAAGAAAGAGCAAGATACCTTAAAAGAAAAGAACAGAAAAAATAAGTAGCGTAAACGATATGACACCTAGAAAATTGAGACTTCAGAGGAAGAAGTGTAGAGTTAATTCAAAACGTTATTATGAAAGAAAAAAGAAAGAGAAAGCTATTCAACAGTTGTTAATAGATAATTCTCTACCAAATAGTGACAATGAAGTACATTCAGCTGAACAAGATCCTCTCACTCAATCAGCTCTAAGCTATATACCTAATTCATATCTAAATCGTTTGGATTACAGTAATAGTAATTCTTGTCGAGGGTGCCTAAAGAAAGATATTCTTCTGAGAAAGATTCGCTACCTACATAAAAAATAGGCATTTTGAAACAAGAAATAGAAAGAACAAAGAAACAGAAAGATGGCATTGGAAAAATGTTGTATAGAATAATGAAAAAGAAGAAGAAAACTGAAAATATATCGACTGAAGAAAAAGTAGAACAATTGGTAGAAAATGTTAATACACAAAAGCGTGAAGAAATTAAATAGCGACTAATGTTTGGTGAAATACTTTCAAGAAGTGTTGGATAAGGGTACAAGTGCTTGAGGAAAAAGGATAAACAAACTAAAAAAAATTTAAAGTTGTTTAGCAAACTCTACAGTTTGCTAAACAACTTTAAAAGCGAAGCGATTTAAGGAGTTTACAAGTTGGTTTAAGTGAGAAAAAAGTGTTTTGTGAGCCTAAGATTGGTGAATCTTGTTCAGTTCAGTTCTTAGAACAATTAAATTTTTT